AGCCACGTCCTTCTGACCTACTAACGAAGACTAAGGCCCCCCCTGTTGCTCCCCCCATTCATACTTCTCACTCGTCAGTGTGAAACATTTGCTTCCCTTAATCATGTGTGTTTTTCCTTACCGACAACTAAGTATAAATTTGATCTGACCCCACATGAATGGGGAAAGGAAAAACTTAGCCGTAGAACTGTTTCTGGGACCTCACCACCCACGGAAGAGGTTCTGGGGCCGTGTCCCACTTCTCGAGGTTTTGTTCTGGTTTCGAGTGTATGTGGATCCTTGGCATTCGATCTGAAAATCTCACGGCCTTAGGCCTAGTGTGACCTCGTTGGAAAATACACGAACCATAAACTAAACCCCCGCTAGTGGGTCACGGCCCCTGGGGCCAAGTCCCACTAGCAGCGTTGAGCTACCTCAACGCCTGAATCTGGACGCTTTTGCAGAGATGTGCAAAAATGGTGTTGAGTTTCCTGAACTGCACGTCTCCACAAACACGTCTAGATTCAAGCGTTGAGGTAGCTCAACACTGCTAGTGGGACTTGGCCCCTGTAAAGTTACGATTTATTCCATGGAACTGTTTCGCAAGACCCCACAGCCCCCCTTTTTTGGCCTGGAAGAGGACAGAAATCCGTTTTCACTTCTTTCGCGGCCTGGAAAAGTCCTGCAGGAGGAAAAACCGCCGCGATTTTGTGTCGAGTGGAGAGTGTCGAGGGGGGCGACATCTGGAGAGTTTCCAAATTTTCCTCCCACTGTGGGACAAGAAGGTGTCCACCCACGGGTCTTGTTCCACAAGCGCCGCCCCAACATCAACCACTACGGGACCTCACCGGTTCCTACGCTCGCCAGCCGACCACCAGGACAAACCACCACTTTCCTTTTCGGGACGGTGGGCAGGGGAGTTTCCTGTTAGGGAAATTTTTGACGTGATTTTGCCGTAAAACTCACTCCGCAGTGGGGTCCCCACGAAACCCTTTTCAGAGTTCCCAAATTCACCTACCGTCTTTTTTGGGCAGACGTCTTTTCCAACGAAATTCCTGTGGGGTCCAGGCCTTCCAGTAACCAGCTCAGACTCAGAAAGACATGGGCCAGAGATAACAAGTTGGCCAGGATCTCTACTGATGGGCAGTGATGGCAAAATCATCTTCTCCAGGTGGTTAACTTTTGTGACAAGCCACGACCCGTACTCAACGGCTTTCCGTACCCAAGTAAGCCTCTAAGTACGAATTCTGGTTGATCGACAAAAGTGGGGTCTATTTCCTTTTCTTTTTCTTTTTCTTCATTTTGGAAGGGGGGACGGAACATAAACTTGTATTTTTCAGAACTTCCCCTGATGACTTTTCCACGAGGACAGTTAGCGACCACGTTGAGAAATCCAAGAAACGGTCAGGAATTAGCGAGGGCAGAAATTTTAATTTCTTGCGTAACAACGAGCACGCGGCTATTTTTCAAAATTCTTGCACATCGCGTAAGCTTGGTCCCTGCTTTGCATCTTCGTGCCATCTTCCCTTCTTGCTGCGCGCTCCCTTTAGCGTGCGCCTTCGTCTTCTTGCAAACGACGTCCGATCCTCTCCTTACCTATCATTGTGAGCAATTGGTTGTGTAGTTGGAATGGTTGGATCAATGTGGTGAAAGTGAGAAGCGCACACCGCTTGAACGACCACCCCAATCACACAGAACTTTTGACTCGCCTCTTTTTTATCGTCCTGGAACCTCGACCTTTCTTTTGTCTTGCTCATGTACACCCCTCGCTACCTACAGCTCGCACTGGCACCCCGCCGCTTTCCGCGCTATAAATTGTCGCAGTCCCTTCCTCTCCTCCTCTTTGATCTCGGCTGCAATGCTGTGCGAGCAATCCGTGAAGTCGGCGGCATCGAACAGGCTCGACGTGCCCAGTGACGGCCAGAGTGATGGCGAGGGGCGGAATTAGCGGTAGACTCGGGGTAAGACAGTCGAAGTGACGGAGCGGTGGTGGAGATCGAACGTCGCCGACGGCAGGGCCCTGTGGCTATGGTTGGTTGGCATTTGGATTGATTGGGGGCTGCGCCTGAGAGAGGCCAACCGGGTGTGAAATTTTGAATAGTGAGGGACTCACTTTTATCTCCATTGTTGCTTTGTCCAAGTGTGATGTGTGAAGTGTCCCGATGTATGAGTATTCCGTTGTATGCATATTGAGTGGTAGGAGAGTCTATGGATGTTGAATGTCCCACAATCCAAAATAGATGTATGGATAGATGTGTGTGCGCTCACAGGCCCAACTCTGGGGAACACAGGGTGTCGACCGTCTGCATGGATGCATGAGTGTGTTGGATTTCCCTCCCTTCCCCGACTCTTGCCGATCCCGGCGCCGCGTGTGTGCGCGGGGATCGTCGCTAATTCTTCCCTTTCCTCCCCCATCGCAATTGTGTAATACGGGTCAGGGGTTGGCCTTTCCATACGACGAACGATCGACAAGCGGGGAGATCAGTCGCCCGCGTTCCACGTAGTGGCTGACCTCTCCGCGACTCGGCCTTGATCAGTTGCGTCCGAACCATCCAGTGGTGACCACGATCTTTGAGCTTGTCCTCCGACAGAGGCAAGGAGTGGGGCGAGTTCCATTGAGACTTGTATGGAGTCAGGGTTTGCCTCGACAAACGTGAGCGCGGGCAGCTGCTCGTGCTCGACCCTCTCATCGGTCCGTTGCAGTGTGCTACCTCCCTTCCCGATCGCAGACGTTGACAGTGTGTATTGCGATGCGGACATGTGGAAAAACCTGCAACGGACCCATCAGGTTCATCTGCACAACCCAACTAGGGTCTGCCACGTAGGAGGAAGCAGGTTTGTTTTAATTGGTCGATTCTCCTCCCCTCCCTAATCCTGCCCTACATTGACTTGACCGTGTTACCTCAGTCCGCGACACACGCTGCGTGGTGACCACAGTTTAACTGCCGCTTGTGTCAAGAGGGGGATTCGTGCTCTTGGTGACAGCTAGTCTTGGGATACGAACGTGTGGTCAGGTTCTCAGAGCTTTCCCTCAACGCAGGCGGCGCCAGGCGCCCTCCTAGCTAGATTTCGGACTTGGGTCCCCCTAACCCTGTCTAAACCAGGTGGTGCCGCACCTGATCACACGCGGGGACTCGATGAATCCGACTTAGAGGCCTGAGAACTTCATGCCTCTGGTCTCTCGCTTGTAGAGTTAGCGTGAATTTAGCGCGAAAGTAACAATAGATTCCGTTCCTCCCTGTCCTTGTTCTATTTCTTTTTGTCGGCTTATTAGCGGGCCGCTCTCGATATCCTTCACCGAGAGGAAGTTTTTGAATCAGAACAGAGCGTGCCTCTTGGAAACAATTCTGCTGATTTTTTTGTATCTCCGTTTATCCCTAACGATGGCCAAAACTGAGGAAAGGCCTCAACACGAAACAAGAGTCCCCCATTCCGATTGGGATATTCAACCCCACCGGGCAAAAAATTCCTCGGCCACACCCCCAACTACTCTAATCGGCGTTCGTAGGTACGGAACGGTGCGTGGGGTGTGAGGTTTGTGCATCACAGACCCGTTGAACCGAAAC